TATTAAGTGCAATAAGCAATTTTCCAAATGTCACAAGATAATTCTAGCATTTTTTTCTAAAAGGTCAGCAAATGACTCAAAACAGTTACCTCTAAAGGAGATCTACCCAACTCAACTTGTAACATTGGGCCATGGACAGAACACATTCAAGCTTAAAAATTTTTTTGAAATAATGCAATCAAATCTTCAATCAATATCCAAAAGTAATCTGTCCAAAATGGGGATTAAATATGTTTAACTTTGTTTTCAGAATAGTGTCAAAGAGCCTAAAAATGCTTCTGATAAAACCTGTTTTTTAATTTAATTTTAATGAAATTTAAAATTAATTAAACGTTTCACTTAATATTATTAAACACACAATCTCTAAATTACATTTAAATAAATCAGAACTTAAAAAAAAAACACTCCCAAATATTTAATCTATGAGGCAAGTTTTATTTCCTGTTTGTTTAGGAATTCTATTGGTTTTATGACTTCTACCATTATAAAATATCAAGTCTAGTTTTTGAATATTAATTGACAATTTGATATTTTATAAATATTTGCACCAAAAGGTAGGCCTTTTGTTGCAAAGGTAACTTTGGAATTTACAGAAGTATGTCATTATATACAATAAACAATGCAGGTCGAAATCAGGTCCTAGTGAACATCCATGAAGATCTAGTAAATCAAAAATCTTTGGCAAATTATTAAACATCAAAATAAATAACATAGGACTTGAGATGCTCCTGGGTTAGATTCATGCATAATTAAACCAGTAGAGCTAAGCAGAAACTTAGACACTTGATAAAAACTCAGTAAAATTGATTAATTTAATACATTGTATATTACCTGGTAAAGCTGCTGGAGATTGCTTTAGGAGGAAACAACTTTGCTATTGATGCTTTGCTGTAAACATTGTTTTGTGTAAATCAAATGTTTGCTCAGAAATAATGCAAAGTGATAGTTGATGTTATATAAATTATAACATTGAAAGTAGCTGATGACATATGTATTTCCCACCTAAAAAATTTTTACAAATACTTTGTGACAACCATTTTGAATTTTGTCTTCAACATTTCTAAACTTCAATGCACTATGTGTTGCAATAGTCAACTTAAAAAGACAGTTTAGCAAATTCTGGTTCTAAGTTGGTTCTGGTTGGCTGCTGCAGCACTAGTACATTGACGTTTTATGCAGCTTTGCCAGGAAATGTGCCCATATTTTCTTGTTCAATTACAAGTGGTACACTTAACTTGGTTAATCAGTGTTCAATGTTTTGAAAGTGAAATTTTATAATAAAAATTTCACTTTCAAATGGAAATACAACAGGCAGAAAATTATTTATAAAAGTAATTGTTCTATTGAAAGACTAGCTGTTACCCACGGCTTTGCCTGCACAATTTTGCAATTTAATTAATCCTCTCCCTACCCCACGGTGGAATTTCCAAAAATATCTTCTTAGTGTGTATTCTTATTACTTACCCTACTAAAACACAGTTAAAAACAAAAACTCGCATCTAAAATAGTACAGTAGAAGCCATTCTTCAGGTTAAGCCTTAATCCTTTCCCTCTCCTTTGCAGGGGGAATTTTGAAAAATCCCTTCTTAGTGTGCATATTCATGGCGTACCCTGTGTCCAAATTTCACCTCTAGGTTCAGCGGTTTGCTCTGGGCAATGATGAATCAGTCAGTCATCAGGACATGTAATTTTATATATACAGTCGACCCCCCTATAATTACGATTCCTATAAAACTACGAAAAAATTGTGACCGGTATCCGTAAAAAACAGTAAAAAACCCCCTATAATTACCTCAAACGTCATCGGGCAGCTGAACTACTTTTCCGCCGTCCGTAGCGCCAACTACAGAGAGATTTCTATTGTCTGTACTTTCCCCAGTATGTAAATTAGCTACCGTAAGTCTAATACAGTACTGTAATTTTATACATTTATTGTGAAAAAAACATTTCTTATTCAACGGCGATTAAAATTATTTATATTAATGATGTCTTCAAAGTTCAAGGAAGTTTTTGCAGAAAAATAAGTTATTAGAAATCGGCCGCGGTTTGCTGAGCTGTTCTGCGACGAAAACAATGTTGAGCAATGGCGATGTCGAATGGTGACACTCGGTAAGTTATCCTACAATATTTTATTTATAGCGTAGTTTATACGGATTATTTCCAAAAAAAAAAAAAACGAATTTGGAAATGTTGAGTCAGATTAGTCTAGAATCGATTAATTTTATGGAAGAAAACCTTTCAATCAGCCGTAGTCCGTAAACTTTACACGTGTCAGGCTGTGATTGGAACGACTCGTAAGAAATCGGATTCCTAGAAAATGGAACGTATCTATATCTTATAGGGGGGTCGACTGTATATAGATAGATTGAAAGCAAGTTTCAATTGTTTGGCATTTATAATTGAATAATTGTTCAGGTTTCTTTGCCTTTTACTGTAAGTAGAAGGGGGAAAAATCAATACCCGGCTTAAACATAATCATTCTATTGATTTAAACATAAGTTTTCTTGATAAAAGCATAATACATTTTCTCGAATTATAAATAATTAACAAAATTATAATTTATAATCTTATAATTTTTAAGTTTAAAAATCTGTGAAGTTGAAATATAAAATTATGAGAGGAGACATATTAGTTTAAAAAAACTTGGGTAATTTGTATAAAGTTTATATCTGAATTAAATGCTTATATAATTTGAGTTTTTCGTGCCTTTATAACATTAAAGATTCGTTCGTATTGTCTAAATGTATACTTTTTACGTCAAATTGACGTCACTATTACATTTTCTCGCAAGAAAACAAGAATGACGTCAAATTGACACAACAGTATACACTAGTTCAACAGAACAAATTCATTTTAAACGACAATCTGCTATAATAAATCGAATGGTTGCATAACAAAATTTTATTAAAAATCAGTCATAAAACTTTTTAAATTTTGTCATTAAAATATACAGATTCATTCATCATGGTTCCTTTATCACATACTGGAATACAGAAATTTATGATTATTACTTTAATAAACATCTGCATTATTAAGTGAATTCTAACCGTATAAAGCTTTGAAGCTGAATATTCTTTCTTAATTTAGTATTTTAACAAAGCATGGCACAAATTCAGTAACTTTTGTGGTAAGTAGTAAAATGTGTATAAATTCTCAATAATGAGTATGCAAATATTGCGCTAAATGGTTTTTTGCATTTCAAAACCTTGAAAATTTATATTAAGTCATAAAACAGGATAAAATAAGACAGCTTGGAATACTTTCACATTTATAAGGTAATTATCACGCTTCACTAATAGTTCAAGGTTGGTTAAAAATTATCTACGATTAATAAAATATTGATAACGATCAATACAATATCGATAAAAATTGCTAAATTAAATTCCACATTTTTTTTTGTTTACATGTACACAGTTTCTGATTTACGTAAAAGCTATACGAGCCATTGATTAGGGTCACATCTTCGATTTAACGTTGACCAAAAAAGTGTTGAGGGGACTTTATGTTTTAGTTTAGGAGCTACAGTACACGTAAATCTGGTGCTGCTTATGTGTACTGTACATGTATAAAAAAAACGTATACCAAAAGACTACATTTGTTGAGTATAAGAAATCATCCATAAATTAAGTAACACTGCTTTTATATTTATCAGCTACCAGCGCACATAATGCTATCGCACAGTCTCAACCCCTAAAAATCATGTAACACATCTTCAATTAATAATACACAGCACGGGGAATACTGAACTTTACATCATTAATTACCATACATGTCTGATGTACAAAGCAGTGACGTAATAAACGGTGTGGTTTGCTGTGCAACATTTCAGTAACAAAAATTAATCTTCTGTTACCCAAGAGTCAAGACACGTAACGTTTTTATGAACACCCATCACCTTGTAACTCATAGTACGATTACTGCATACTCACTCATCCATATCTGCATTACGTAATATACGGACAACCCTGATTGGAATTCCTGTAATTTATAGAAAAATTGTGTGTTGCATGAAGGTTTTAATAAAAAAGGATCAACCGAATCAACACATTTTTAATCTTTTCTATTATCAAAAACAATCTTATCACAATTTTTTTAAGTGATTGTGATTATTTCTCTTATTGATTTTATTCATTTTTAAATTCGACTTTCGTAGAGATGTAACCCCCATATTTGTGACTAACTCGAACACCAATGCCATATATAATAATAATTTTTTATAGGAAGTTAGATTCTTATAATAAAGTATAAATTTAAGATGAAATTTATATTTATGATCATTAAAATTGTTGTTTTTATATTCAGATATTTTTCAAACTATATTCAGCCTTTTATATGCCTGTATTGTAATATATATAGTTTATTTTATTATTAGTCTATCCTGATAGACTAATTGACTGATAGACTCTGATTTAATTGAGAGGAGGCTGAAGAGGTGAAAATCCTATCGTGCCGCTCTGGAGGATCCGAGTTCGAGTGGCGATTTGTTCGAGATTTGTCTGTTCGAAAATTTGCATGGATAGGTTGGATATATCCGAATATGTTGGATCTTGTCCCTCATCGACCATTAGTGGCCGATTGGATAAAATACTGAACACTTGGAACTTATAGATAACTTTTATCATGCATAGAGATTCTGCCATTCTGTATTCGACTTAAATGTTCTTCTCTGATTGTTTAAACACAAAAATATTTTTGGCAACAAGCAAACATTGAAAGTAATCTTCTGAATGAATCGTTTGTCTTATCAACCACCTAAGCCAATATGCAGTATATTCGCGCTGTTCAGTAAGTAAAATGGCCGGATGACCGAGCGGTCAAGGTCCGAATTCGACCGAGCGGTAAGCCGGTCGAATTCGGACGGGTCGAAAAATCCCCAGGAATTTTTCGGAGGTGATCCATCCGAATATGTCGAATCCGTCCCGAACCTATTATGGGCTGGCTAAAAAGAAGCCCTCTTAGTGCCCACAGGGAGGATAAGAGTTTTTTTTTTTTAAATGTCCGGTAAGTAAATAGTCCTGCGATTTATCCATGTCGGAGAAAAACCATTTTACCTAAAGTCTCTAATTAATTCATTTTTAATTTCTTGAGTTTTAATTTTTCTATATTTGATCGAAATATTCCAAAATTTTCTGTTTCTCGTCCGAAATAATACCGAAAACATTTCCGCAAATAAAATAACGTAGTGAATACTTCATCTTTTCGTCATTATTCGTTAAATTTAAGTTCAATTCTGAAATACATTCGCAAAATTTACAAATAAATTTATTGCCGTTTGGATTCCTCCGTGACCTTAAGCCAACGCGCATAAAATTGTAGAAACAATTATAGAGAATAATCATTTCCGCAGAAACGGTGAGTCAATTACTTGGAAATTAAATTTACTTTATTGTCTTCGGGAAAGATTATCTTTTTTCCTGATATCTATGTAAATTATGTAATAAAATCTTAATAGATAACATCGTTAATTCAATGTAATGCCTGACACAAATCACGTGTACGTTTTCGTAATTGCAATAGGCGCTTGTAATTCAATATGGCAGTCGGAAACAGATTCGAACATTAACACCTAATTTAATTATATAAGGATAAACTAATTAATTTTTTCTCTTTTAATCTCTGTTTAATAATATTTAATATTACACAGTCTATCAAAACTTTAAAGATGTATAAAGTATTAAATCTGTAGAAAAATAAATAAATTCGGAGTAGAAAACTCGCGCACGACCTCTGGATATTCATTATTGGAGACGAAACTTCCCAAAAGAAAATATAATTATTGAATTAATATTTACAATAAGGAAGAATTAATAAAGTACGTGTACTTATAAAAAATAATCGACGTGAAACGAATGATAAAAACATGCGTAATGTACGGTTCGATGACGTCACAACGCCAAGGTTATTCAATGACATCGGCGCGGAGCCGGCTAAAGGAATATAAAAAGTAAAGGAGTGTCACCGTCTCCTTCACTTTCCCATTCATTTGCCCAGGTTCGTTCTGTTGCTGCTCCTAACTTGATTATAATCATATTTATCTAATTATAAACTTGTTAAGAACTCTTAGAGTAAGTTATTTGCTTAATTTTTTACGAGATTTTTTTTTTAAATTTAATAAATTTTACAATAAGGACGTCCACGTTTTTTACAGAGTCGTTCGCTTCTACAGAAAATCGGAGTGGTAAAATTTGTTAAAATGAGTAACGTTTGCTTGATTGTCATCGACGGTTGGGGCATTTCCGATGTTCTAGAGGGTAATGCCATTCATTATGCTAAAAAGCCGGTTATGGATGCGTTAGCGCAGAAAGAGGGTCAATATTATACTCTGGAAGCGTCCGGAAAATTCGTTGGATTACCGGATGGATTGATGGGTAACAGCGAAGTGGGTCACATGAACATCGGCTGTGGACGGGTCATGTATCAGGATATCGTCCGTATCAATATGGACGTGGCTTCGAAGAAGATAGTCGAAAACGAATTCTTTGTAGAGGCCTGCAAAAATGCCATTTCTAACACCGGTCGGTTGCATATGTTGGGCCTGTTTAGTGATGGAGGTGTTCACGCCCATATCAACCACTTGTTTGCGCTGTTGGAAGGAGCCAAGCTTGCCAAGGTGCCGAAGACTTTCGTCCACTTTTTTGCCGACGGAAGAGATACCAGTCCCACTAGTGGAGTCAATTACGTCAAGCAGGTTTTGGATAAAATAAAAGAACTCGGATATGGCTCTCTCTCCACCGTTATTGGCAGGTATTATGCCATGGATCGTGACAAGCGCTACGAAAGGCTGAAATTGGCTTTTGAGGGGTTGGTGCAGGGTATGGGAGAAAAATCTAGTGCCGACACTGTGATTCAGGCGATTCAGGCTCATTATGATGCTCCGGAAGCGGAGAGACAGACCGACGAATTCTTAAAACCGATCATTGTCAATGAGGAAGGGTGTATTAAGGACGGAGACACTCTTATCTTTTTAAATTTTCGAGCCGATCGCGTTAGACAGATTTCTGAAGCTTTTGGTATAGAAAGACATTTTGAAACAAATGTTGTACCAAAGAATATAAAAATTTATACCATGACACAATATAAGAAAGAATTTCCTTTTGGTATGCTGTATCCACCAACTGTACCAAAAAATGTTTTGTCCGAATGGATTGCTAGCAAGAGTCTTCCACAATTTCATTGTGCAGAAACTGAAAAATATGCACACGTTACCTTTTTCTTTAATGGAGGACAAGAAACAGCATTTAATTTAGAAGACAGGCTAATGGTACAGTCGCCAAAAGTAGCAACTTATGACTTGCAACCAGAAATGAATTGCAAAGGAGTAGCAGAAGAAATGGTTAAAGTAATAGCGACAGAAAAATATCCTTTTGTAATGTGCAACTTTGCACCGCCCGACATGGTGGGACACACCGGAAAATACGAGGCTACCATTAAAGGCGTTGAAGCCACCGACGAGGCCATAGGGATGATTTTAGCGGCCTGTGACAAACATGGTTACACTCTAGTCATCACTGCAGATCACGGTAATGCAGAAAAAATGCTCGACCCCAAAGGAGGCCCCCACACCGCCCACACCACAAATAAAGTTCCTCTGTGTGTCACGGGCTTCCGCAAACTAAAAAACATCACTCACAGTGCGGCACTCTGTGACGTTGCTCCTACCATTCTAGATCTGATGGGACTGGACAAACCACCCGAAATGACAGGACAGTCTCTGTTGGCACCCCCTTAAAGAAAGAAGAGATTAACATTGACAACCAATTTGTTTTTCTAAAATTCAGAAATAGTTATTTATGTTTTAGCTAATGTATGTTAATTTGTTAGGGATGTTATTATTTAAGGTATTTGAAGTCAATTTAATTTTGTGATATTAAATGTAAGCATTAACTGCTTTTAAGTTATCGAAAATAAATATAATTGTGCATAAAAAAAACAAGTGATGTTAGTTAATTGGAAAACTAAATTTGCAAATGTTAAGACATTTTTTTTTCACTTAATTCTGTGATCTATATTTACCCCATGTATATTGTGAATGATGATGTAGAAGAAGAAAATAAATTAAAAATTTTTTTGATATATTTTTTTAATCATTATTTATAAATTTATTGTTTGATTTTTATATAATTTGTTCATTTAGATTTGCATAACTTGTTCCGATTTTAACTTCCATTTCAAAATTTACAAGGTCAGGAATTAACTTTCTTTGAAATAATTTCAAAAGTATTTAGTGTGATGCAAACTTTTGCAAGAAAATGCTTAGTCGGCAAAGATTTTTCCCTTTCATTCCAATGATGCAAATATTACAATATGGTAAATGACAAATAAAACAATTTTGGAAATCAAAATACTTTCCAATGAGATTTTTAAAAGTGATATGGAATAATTAATAGTATGTTGCAAAAATTAGGTTTTATTAAAGTTAAGTTTTTATGTAATTTTTCAAGAATATTGAATACCTTTAAAACTTAACAAGGATTATGCTTTATAGGAATGAATCTTGGCTTATCCTCAGGGTATAAACTTTTTCATAAAAAATTTTCAAAAACACTCCAGATAAACTTTGTTCTATTTTAAATGAAATTCCAACAATTGTTGTTGGAACAAATTTATGCCTGAGGGAAAATCAAAAAATGCTTATGTTGTTAAAAGGATAGCACTTAGGGAAACATTTTTTGATGTTTAAAATAAATCATACAATTTGAAATTAATAGTTATTAAGCATACTAATCCAATAAATTTGTGGCCAGTTCCTATGCATGAGATTCTATATCTGTATCCCAGATATAGAATCTCTCTAATTGTGATTTGAGCATGGATTGTCTCATTTTTCCTCTGACTAGAATGTTGTATATATGTTGAGGTAAATATTTGGCATTGATCAATTTGTATATGAGCAAGACTGACCATCAAATGTCTTAAAATATGATTACATAGCAAAACACTGATGGACTGACTGCTTGGTGAGGCGTGTGGCAAACAACTTGTGGCAGTTTGTATTTCTTTGGATTATTTCAGACCAGTGTCCACACTAACATGCAACATTTGTGTATGTGTGTGTACCCATCATACAACAAATTTGGTGGATGATAGATTTGATGTGTATCATGTGACATTCCACTTCAGGAAATCACTGTAAAAGAGAGAATCAATTTGACACCAACTTATGATGATGATGCCCAGAAAAACATGAGGAAAAGTTAAAATTTATGGAGAATGGAGGAAAGCATACAGAAAATTTATAACATGCATAGGTACTGTACATAGTCATTATATTAAACTGTCAATAGATATTTGGAAGAAGGTTGGAGAAATTAAATTTGCATAAAATGGTATTTAGCTGTTTTTTGGAACAATAACTGTAATTTTAATCAAACAACAGACAAATTGATGGAGAGAGAGAAATTTTCTATATTACCGAATAAAATAATAATCAAGATCAAATTTTCAAATAAAAGATGAGCACAAGAAATCATGTTAAATACCTTATTTAAAATTTTTAATCATTATTACCAATTATATAATTTTGAATTATTATAAAAAGATGATTTTAACAAGATGAATTGCAATAAGATTTTTAAAAAATGTCAAGTGAATATCTTTTTATCACTTTGCATTATTAATTAAAATATTTTTGATACTCAAAAAGCAATTTGTAAATATTTATGAGTTATTAATATTAGTTAATATATATTATCCTGACTTCCTCAGCAGTTTACTTACAATTAGATTAAATCAAACACCAGAACACTTGCTGAGCTTACTGTACTTTAATATCCAAATGCTTTCAGCCCATTCTTATAGGCCATCTTCAGGAAATTATCGTTCCACAAACAAACAAAAAGCTTTTGAACACTCGTAAAATTTAAAGTTTTCGAAAATTTTTAAAAAACTATTACATTAAGCAGTTAAAATGGGCAGTATACAAACGGCCATGTACTTAAAACACACTTGCGCCACTATATATACCAGCATGGTCAAATGATCCGTTTAGGTATAAGATATTGGCATTCAAGGCGCTTATTAAAAGAACGTTCTTGTATTGCACTAACGTACAAGATCAACTTAGGGAGATAAGCAGAATTAACAAAGTGGCAAAAGGTTTAGGATTCAGAACAACCACAATAGAAGGATTGATCAAGAGTTACAACATGGAAGCAAACGAGATAATAAGAGGGATAGAATCAACAAGTTCACATTCAATAGGAGGTGGAGAGAGAGATGGAAAAATTATGTAGATATAAAAACATGAAAACAGTGTATAAATAAAACAGTGCTAAACATATACAGACTGCTTAGAAATGATAAAGACGAAGTAAGAATGCAAAATAAAACGGGTCTATAAAATTCTTTTTGAGAATCAGCAGTTGGGAGTGACAAAAGATTGTATTGGTGTTACCAGAAGAAACTTGGCAATACGTTTAAGAGAGCACAAATATGACATGAATAAAGGGCATAATAACACAGTTTTGGCAGTCATGGCACAAACAGAAGGAGCAAACGTGAAATGGGATGAAGCGAGAATAGTTAAGACAGTCCATTTGCAGATGATTGCATTAGGTATGGAGAAGATAGAAATATATAAGGGTAAATGAACAATATATAAGGGTAAAGTGAACAATAATTGCTTAAATGCAAAAGACGCAAATGCTCTCCCAACGGCCTGGAAATACGTAATAGAAAAAGAGATGGGAGTTAAAAACCCGTAAAAATATGGCAGTTATGCTTTAACTAATTTAACGTATTGTAGATATAGTATATTTTTTTACATTTGTTTGGTTATATAATGTACTAGTAATTTGTTGTTATCTAATATTTAACCGTTTAATGTAATAATTTTTAAAAAATTTTCAAAAACTTAAATTTTACAAACATTCGAAAGTTCGTTTGTGGAACGATAATTTCCTGATGATGGCCCATAAGAATGGGCTGAAAGCATTTGGATATTAATTAATTAATTTTAAAGTACAGTAAGCTCAGTAAGTGTTCTGGTGTTTGATTTAATCTAATTGTAGTTAATATATAGACAATCATCAATTGACTGAATATTTGTTTTGGTAAATTTCTTGATATTTAAAGGAAAATTGCCCTTGAAACAACAACAAAAAATTATTTTCAGGATTTTTAAATGATCAAACAAAATTACAATAAAACCTGTGTAAACAAGAATCACATTGTACTGAATTATTTTTTCTGCTTTCAACAGGTGGTGGTATTTTTGGGCTGAAATTTGAAAAAATTGTAGACCTATAAATTTCCACTGTCATTCATCCATCTGCCTTTCCTTAATCTCAAAAACAGAGTTGAGTTAGATAGATGAAATTCAAGACCGGATATGGAAACCATAGGGGCAGGAGGCCCCCAATTAACTATATATGAACTTCCAATGCAAACCAGAAGTCATGTTATTTCAATTTAAAAATTTTCCCTTGAAAGGAGTTAGTTAGATGACCAGCATGACTCCATTGCTAATGGAAAAATATGATGTAGGGGGGCAAGACAGTACTAATTTGAGGTGGAAAGCATATATATTAAATTAAATTTAAAATATGATAAAAAATTGTAGCCCAACAGAAATCCAGCCTAGAGTTCAAAGTGGATGACTGAACTGGAGAAAGATAATTGGAGTACTGTGTGATAAAAAAAGAAGCTGCAAAATGAAAGGAAGATTATATAAAACCTTGGTAAGACCTGCAATGATGTAGTGCTGAGATGTAAGCAATTAAACAAAAATGTACTTACTTGTGCCTCTAATGGGTGTGTAGAAATACAAAAATAAATAATTTTGTAAAAACAGTGTCCTCCTCCTCCTTTCCTGGCTCTTTAAGCAATTACAAGAGCCCAGGAAATGAAGATGGAGACAGCAGAGATGAGAATGCTGAGATGATGTGTGGTGTGACGAAGGAGAGAATTAAAATGATTACATAATAGGAACAGTCAAGATGGCTCCTATAAGTAAGATGATGCAGGAAGGTAGATTAAGATGGTTTGGACATGTAGAGAGAAGTGAAAACTGTTGGAAAGAGGATTTGAAAGTTGGAAGTGAGGAAGAGCAAAGCTGAGATGGAGAGAGAAGGTGGCAGAGAATTTGGGAGAAAGAGGATAGAAGTGGAGAAGACAGATTAAAGATGGAAATGCCTACCCCATATAAACATGGGGAAAAAATGAAGAAGAAAATGAAAATTATAGTAATAGAGACAAACTTATTCTGTGATTTGGCTTCTCAAAGAATTTTAATACTCTAATTAATCATTTACTTCAATCTTTATAATTACAAATATAACTTGTTTTTGAATACTTGCTACTAGTTAGCTACTAACTACTCTGTACAAAGCAAGTTGAGGCAGCACTATAACCATTAATTAATAGTGATAGCACTTCACAAAGTTATTGAAGATGTTACCACAGTTTACCAACAGTCAATAAATGATGTTGCAGGCTTCATTAGTAACATACACTGTCAAGGCAGTTAGGTGTATCCTATGGCACAATATGGAAAAGTTGGTGCATTGTTTTCCTTGTAAGACCAGCTACAACCATCATGTAACTTTATAAGATACTTGCTATTAACAGGGAAATCTGACTTATCATTGCATTGATCTTTGTCAGAATGGTTGTGGCCATGGAAGATTAATATGGAACAATGACGCACATTTTTACTTTAGTAGAACAGTGAATACTCATAACTATCACATTTGGGCCATTGAAAACCCATGTTTTCCAGCAGATTCCACTATATGTGCCTAAAATTTCAGTCTGATGAGGATTCACAGCCACATATAAGCTTGAACCATTCTTTGAATAAGCTAGTTTCAATGGACTTGTGACATTCTCTATGATGGGCTATGAGAGGTGCTCAATAATTATCATAACCTAACTACAACAGCAACAATGCCAAGAGTCAACTTGAGTCAGATTTGACTTTCATGCAAGATGAAGCACCTACATATATTGGACATTGTATACAGCAGTTTCTGAACATTTTACCAATAACATTATGATTGATTAGTTGTGTTTCTTAACACCTGTTGGCAGCCTTGAAAGACAGTATCACACTGCATGTGAATCATTATAGTGAATCAAAACACTACTCATCATCATCAGGTTTTACATCTTCAAAATGGAGACCACATTGAGCAGCATCCCATGCGTTGCTGTCTCTGTATAGCATGTGCATTTTGTACAAATGAAATGCTTGTTACTTACAGTCCAGAAGTACCATAGTGGTGATTTTTGGTAATGGTTTTTTAAAGAACTGTATTCCCTATGTCCCAAAATGTCACCATACTAGATTTGGTTGCATCTGTACTTAGTGTTACCACCTGTCCGGTTTTCACCCGGACAGTCCGGGAATTGACTCACTGTCTGGGTGAACTATTAATTTTGTCCAGGAATTTTGTAGAAATTGTGAAATTACGATGAAACGAAGTTCTTGCAAATATTTTTATAAATTTACACTGTTTTAACAGCAAAAGAACTCGCACTCATTGAAACTCATCTGCAATTCTGCCATGTTAGTCTGTTTACGCCGACGTGTGGTGCGCAACCTGCCGACCTTTTTTTTTTCTCATGTGTGAGAGGCCGGACTTGAAAAGAAAATTTTATTTAAAAGTTTTGTTCGAAAAGAAAAAAAAAAGATCGCTACGGATATGATTATATCCTTTCCCACGGACTTACTTCCCTGTTTGAGTGACACATCGAATGTGTCACTAGGAATCAAACGCGAAAAATCGCCATTGGATGTAAAGAACGATTTTACCAAAAAAGGACAAGAATTGCGAGGGGGAGTACCCCCAAATAAAGGAGAAGGTTTAATGACGTGACAGGGAGTTCGCCTGACAGAAGAGTTCGCATCCTCGAAGGTTGGTCGTGTGTGTACACTCGGATACATTTTACTGCCGATGCTCCTCCAATAGCCAGTGATCAGAAGCTTAACCGCCGATGAGTCCAAGTACCCACCAAGAACATATCTTCACCGGAAAAAGGACCCAATTCAAGAAAGCGATCTTCAGGTAAATACCACGCGCAAACAATTATACACTCTCTCTCTCTAAACACATAAGTGTAACTAGTTTAGGCCTATATAATCAATAAATGGATATTAATTTCTATAATCGAATTGTAAAGTGCACTTCTTTACCTTAATTGGTCTCCATCCCGAGTCCAAGAGTCCACATACGCGACTGCTCGCGCGTAAATTCGAACGTAACGGTCTCTATGTCTATCCAGAAGACACAGTGGTGTCAGTCCTGATAAATTTGTCATTGCCGTCTTCGCCGATGCAATGTCGACCCTTCGGTCCTGTGGTGCCGAAGTATAGAGGGGACCCTTCGGCATTGTCACACATGTATGACCATACATGTCTCCAATATCCAAGAGCTAAGTCATCTGTACCTGTTCTTTCTTAATTTAGGGTTACTTATGTTACTCCAATTCAAGTCCCTAGTCCCTAACTGTAACCATTTAGAACCGGCATGCACGTTATTCTTTGCATTGTAAAATGACATTGTGCATGCATCAGGAACTTCTGTTCGAACAAACCTGACCTGTCGTCCGGGTCAATAGAGAGGTTGAGGCGCACGTTTAAAACGTGTAAACGTGTACGTGTGACGTTCGGCGCCGCTTTCCCGTAAGCCTAAAAGTTTGACGATGGTGTTTGAAATGTCGAGCATGATTCCACCGACTATCCAAACACCATTGTCAAACTTTTAGGTTTACGGGAAAGCGGCGCCGAACGTCACACGTACACGTTTACACGTTTAAAACGTGCGCCTCAACCTCTCTAGTGATTTTGAAAAGATGGCAACACTATCTGTACTTCTAAATGTCTCTGTAGACAGCATCCACTAGGGTGAAGTACTTTAATTGCAATCATCCAATATTTGTCTCCACACTTAAATCTAGACTAACTGCTTTTTGGTGAAAAATTAAACAGTTTTGTGCTATATATCTTTTATCAGGAGTCAACAAATGTGCAAAAGTGATGAGTTTTATAAAATGTTTCTATTCCAATTTGAATTGGATAAAACATGATTTTCTCAAACAACATTGATATCTCTTAGACAAAAATAATTTATAAAGTTAAATGAAATGAAATTATCAAAATCAGTAGAGCTTAAGTCAATTAGATGATAATTTATGTTTAAAGCTGAGTTCCTAACAAGGTCGATGATTTTGGAAGGGATCAATGAGCAAATTGTGTACAAAGTTTACATTCTTATATTAAGGTGACCAACTTTTTTACAATGAAAAGGAGGACACTAATAAATTGAAGGAAAAAATATCATAAATAAAAAACATTTTATTCATTGCAACAATAATACACTATAATAATCTCTACTGCATGCATAGGTGCCATGTCGTGTTTTGATAAGAAGTAAACAAAGCCATTTGCACTCTCTCTCTCTAGGTCTCCCGTGCGAAGAGCATGCATCTCATAATTGCATCTCGTCGCACTGTACAGAGCATTGATAAATTGTCATGTTAAATACAAACATGTCATATCACATCACACACAACAGATTGGTTTGGCATTGATCGAATACAAAGATTACAGATTAGTCTTTAAATATCAAAAAGGAGGACACTTTTCAAGGGAGGACAGAACTTACAAAAAGAGGATGATTGGTCACCTTACTTATATGCATACTTTAATATTAAATGTTTCTAATAACCTAACCAGTTATATAACCACACATTTACAACACACTCAACAAGTTGATATGGGGTGGAATCTGTGTGACAGGCAAATCTGTAGTTTTCATTGACAGTGATTCGTTTTTTGAAACCGTGTTTTCGTATTTATTTACTATTGAACACAAGACTGTGTTATTATTAAAACACTCTTGTGTTCAATAGTAAATAAATTGACAGTGATGTGAAAATTAATCATGAAATTTACATTCAAGATGTTCTTGAAGCTGCTCTTCTTCCTTGGTCCAAGTCCCACTTTGACAACCAGAAATAGATTTTCCAGCGAGACAGTGCACTGGAAAGCAGAAATCCAGGCTTGGTTTGGTAATAATGGAATTGACTTTATCCCATGGTCTGAATGGTCACCATATAGCTCAGACCCAACCCCATCAACTATAGCTTGTCAATATTGGCAAGCATAGCTATGCTATACACCAAAACTTGGATTTCCTGTGGGGTGTCCTCATCTGTCAATAGTATAAAATATCTGTCAAGGAAGTACAAGCCATCTGTAACAGCTTTATGAAGCATCTGTATCAAGGCATGTGAAGGTAAAGATTTTAAAGTAGTAATTGTTAACATTGTTCCTTGTATTGTTTGTTATAAGAATTTGTTATCACTTTTTGTATTCAATGCCATTTTTCAAAGATATGGATCTTTGAAAAATGGATATTTCAAGTTGTCTCAGAACTTTGTTGTCACTCTGTTATCATACAAAACAATTTTATATATTTAAAATATATTTTTAATTCAGAAATATATTTCAGGTTTCTTGGAGAAATATAAATCTGACAGAAAAAGTTAGATATAAATAACCAGGTAGGTAATATTTAATTGTTTTAGAAATTTTAACATAAATGTGTTTTTATTTGTAAGATTACTTAAAAATATAAATACGGCAGTGTTTGACTTTTGGATGTAATGCATTCCTAAAAATGCATAGAAATGATGAATGATAGATTTGCATGTTGCAAATGGAGTTCTATTCTCAGAGAGCTAAAAATAAAAATTATAAAACTCTTATTCACTGTAAAAATAGTAAAACTTCCTATCTTAATATGTTATAATGCATAAAACATTATTTAAAATACTGTATTAAAATTATAGATTAAACCACAGAAAATACAATAGAAATGAATTTTCATAAAAGATTAAAAGGACAAGTCACTGCATGATAGCTCAAAGGTAGGTAATATTTGTTTGATAGTCTAAATTGTTTTTTGTACACCAATTTCAGCCAACAAAGCATTATGTATAAGATTGTACCTGAAGAAGGCCATTCAAAACAGCCAAAAACGTTTGTAATTATGTACAAGAGTTGAACATCCAAAAGTTGAGGACTGCCTGCACAGTTTTCTTTTTTAATAGAAATTATTGGATTAGAACTATAGGCTAATTAATTTCATAGCTACCACATAATTTGGACAAAATAACATAGTATCTATAAAATTATTCAAGTTCTAGCCTTGATAGTTAATCCAACCTTATCATTAGAATAATTCATACTTGTCTGTCTATATTTATTAATGGGCACTGCTTGGCTATGGTGGTTCTTGCTGTGAAAAAAATTAACAGTTGTAATTTTGGATTTATTTTAGTGATTTTTCTTTCTGAATCTTATGGCTAATACATTTCCTGAGAAAAGAAAGACTTTTTCTCCAGTTTCTCAAGATTTATCTGCTAGAAATGTAAGAATGTGATCTCAGAATGAAGACGAAGGGATTACAAGTGACCTGTCAGAACAATTGATTCTTTCATAAATTCAAGATGAAAAAGAAATTGATGTTCAGGATGGTATTTGTTTTTTGCTTAAATAGCAAATTTCTTTTAATCATAAATTACAAATTCTTTTGGAGTGACTGTCAAATATCCAGGTGTGGGTAGAAAACATGGATACAGCACTTGTAGATATGGAGTCTCGGATCTCAGTAGTTGAAAAGGATGAGAAAAATGGTTATACTAGTTTAACCAATAGTAAATCATTCAAAGACATGAAAAAATGTAGTCTAAACTTATTTGACAGACTGTTATAGTTGGAAGATAAAGAAGGAAGAAATAATATAGTGATTTCTGGTCTTCCAGATAATGGAAGTGATGAGGATGCTAAATTTTGGTGCAAAATTTGTTTGAAGATAATTTAAAAGTCTCTGGAGCATATATTAAGTGTTATAGAGTTGATGAGTTTTCACACTTACAAAAAAGACTTGTTACATGAGAGTTGATGGATCTGGAAGATAAAATAAAAGTTTATAAGAATATGAGGAACTTAAAAGGTACTAATATCTTTATAAATGATGATTATTCTGTACCTATTAGATTGATTAGAAATAAATTAAGATTATATGCTAATGAATTATGTTTAAAAGGTGTAAGAAAAATTAAATTATGCTATAATAGATTAATAGTAGATGATATAATTTATGCATGCAACTTGGACAGCAAAATCTATCAGGTTAAAGATGAAGAACTTTTTTTTAGAAGTATAATTTCTAATGAAATGTATGATGGAAAATATCCTGAAAACAGTGTGTAGTGTACTTAAGGATAAGGTTAAAGAATAAATCTGACAATATAGAATTCTGGAATTTAATTAATTTGGCAGAGATATGTTGTTTGGTTGAAACATGGTATGATGATGATGATGTCAAAACTTTATTTGATAGAAAGTTCAAAATATTAGTAATCTTCAATCAAAGCTTGTAGACAGTATGATGTTGGTAGACCAAGTGGAAGTATTATCATTTGTCTTAATAAAGACATTTGTGTATTGAAATCCATATTATATCAGTCTAGAGTTAATAATAATAACAATAATAATAATAATAATAATAGATCTATTGGATATTAAAAATATCCTTTTAGTTATTTCTTATGTTCCTCCTTATGATAAGTACAGTCCTTCCAACAATAATAGAACTGGAGGTAATGGATGGCCGCCATCGGTTAGACGAAACCTGGCCGTCTTTCTCCATCCATTTCCATCTCCACAAAGACTGTGTTTATCAGAAGGCGGTAAACGTGAATTAGTTAAGGCCACGACCACGTTTTAAACTAAAACAACATTTATTTACAACAATCTTACGAGTACACTTGAGAGAGAGCTACACGTGCTCATGGCAGCGATCACCCGACAAGAAAAAGCCACAATACCCAGAATCCCATCCGGGAAAACCCTTGTCCCCGTTTTCAATCTGGGATTCACGGGAAACTCCTAGAGGAGTGGCTGCCGCAGAACATACAGTTTTTGTCTAGAAACTCTATTATTTTCATGTAACTTTAATGAAATTCTCTAGTACATTTTATAGTAAGATATCAACAATTATAGCACAAGTCTGGAGAAAAATTATTACTAAACAAAAGAGCTAGATACTATTAGCAAAAATAAAATGTCCAACATTAATAGAATATCTTGACTTATAATATGTTTAAAATTAGTAGCTGATTTTGCTACCATCTTTGGAAACAACGTGAAAAATACAATTAGACATAGAACTAATCAAAAATTGCAGTCATTCTTGTGGAGTAATTTCCCATGCTTCCACGAGAGCAGCTTTTAGTTCAGTGACAGTCCTGTATTGCTTTCCACTGCTATATATTTGGAAAACCAAATAACCACAAAGATTTTCAATTGAATTTAAATCTGCACTGAGGGGTGGCCAGTCCAAAAGTCAGACATTCTTACTATGAAAAAAGGATAACATTGTTTTTGATACATGGAAGCTTGCATTATCCTACATAAATTCAAAGCCCTGTCCAGCAATTTTCTGTCCCTAAGTTTGGAGCTGCCTCCAGACAAGCTCCAGATAAGTTTGAGAGTTGTTTCGATCTTCAATAAATACTAGATCTGTCTTTCTATTCTATCCAATCCCCATCCAAATCTTGAGTGTACCACACTAGCTACTCTCTTTGAGTACTGCTTTTGATCTAGACTTTTGTCTGCTGAACAATACTTAAAACTATCAGGTCCTTTGAGTTTCTACTTTTTCTCATTTGAGAAAATTACTTTTCACCATCCTTCCCCTCTTTTAAAGTTGTTTCTGGCAAATCGTAATCAAAGTTGTTTTTGTTTTCTCCTTGAGCTGTTTTCCTGTCTTCATTTTGATAAAAGCAGGGCTGTGGAGTCACGTAAAAATCTACCAACTCCAATCAGGAGCAGACTTTTTACCAAAAGAAACCCAAAAATTCTGATGTCATCACGTGACCTCAGAATAAAAGATTCAATAAATAGCATTCTAATAAAGATAGAAAGAACGTTGAAACTTTTTATTCTAAAGCTAAAAGACTCCTCTAAGTACTGACACAGTCAATATATAAATATGTATTCGATAATTTTTACTTTTCCGGCTGTTATATATAACAGAGGGAAAGTGTAGCGCTCGCTCAATAAATGACCCTTCCCAAATTTTTACATTTCTGGACTCAGGACACCTTGAAATTTCGAGATATGCAAAAGATTTGAGGTTTTTTTCTATGTGTGTGGATGTTACTGTGTATGTGGGACATGATTTTGTTCACCCTGTATGAAGCCTAATAATTTCTGTGGTCAGAATCGAAGTCAAATGGTTTAACACAGAAGTTAGTTATTAAGCGTCAAAGTGGTTGAACTAAATCATGTCCCCATACACATTCCAACATTTTAGGTGAGAACATCTTAATGGGTTTTACTGTACTATTATAAAATGACAAAAAAGCTTACTTTGAGGATAGAGATGAGTTTTATTTTTTTTTAAATTTTGAATAATGAGTAAAATATGCATTAAGAGATATAATACACGACCACTTTTATTTCTTCACCCTGTTGATCTTTAATTAAGAACTAAAATTTAATAGTATTAATGCCCCTTTATATGCAAGCCACAGTGCCACATTTCATTTCTTAAACTGTACCCATTCTGAGATATTGTTTAATATCTCAGAACAGAAAATAAAGAAATTAAACAAATTAGATGCCAACACACACATGCATGCAAATTTTTCCCCTTTTATTGACTTTTTTGAGGGGTTTGGGAGGTCTCCAAACGTGTAGATTTGCAAAAAAAAAAACTTGGAGATCAAATTTGACACGATTTCAATACTTTTCTGTTTTATATACATAACAAGTTGGGAAATAAAAAGGAGTCGGAGTTGGCAGATTTTTTGATGACTCTGACTCTGGCTAAAATGCCAAAACTCCACAACTCCAACTCCACAGCCCTGGATAAAAGAAGCATTGTCTGTTGATCTAAAAACATTGTGCACTGTTGATTTACTGTAGCTCAGCTTCAATTCATTTTTGATTGTTTTGAACGGACGTGTTTCCTTGCAGTGCACGCTGAACAATTGCACAATGTTCTCCAGGTGAATTCTTGCATTCACTCTTTCGTCTTCCTGTTTGTTGCTCTTTATTATTGAGAACATTTTTGAGATTGTTGAATAAGATCTTCCCAAATTTTTAACAATCCGAGTTACTTTTCTATCTTCCTGATAAAACACATCAATTTTGATCTTCTCCCATACAGTTAGGTCTTTCTAACATCCCATTTTTAATAGTAAGGTACTATGCATTTTACTAAACCTTTATTTTCACTTGTTGATTGTATTTTTATGCAAATTTCATGGATTCCAATCATTACTTTCTTTGTAATTTTAATCAGTACATGTTCTATTAATGTTAGATATTATTATCAAAAATAGGATGTCCAACTCTTTTGTTTATTTATCATTTTTCTCCAAACTTATGCATTAATTGTTGATATTTTGCTATCAAACATACTAAAAAATTTCATCAAAGTCATATGAAAATAATAGAGAGTTTCTGGGCAATCACTGTATGTTCTGTTATTGTTGGAAGGACTGTATAATAACTTTTTCAGACATACTGGAGATTTTGGATGAATATATATATGACTACAATAATGTTATTTTAATGCTAGAATGAGACAATCGGAGCATCTCTCATATTATGTATCTGATAATTTTAATAATTATGAACTTCTTACAAGAATTTCCAGAGAGAAAATTTCTAATTATCTTGGAAAATTATTATATAACTTTTGTATGGATAATGAATTTATCTGTTTAAATGGCACTCTTATCATTGGCAAATATGAGAGTTTAACTTTTGTATGGATAATGAATTTATCTGTTTAAATGGCACTCTTATCATTGGCACTCTTATCATTGGCAAATATGAGAGTTTACCTTTTGNGGCCACAATATATTCAAATATAAATTTGTATATGCATATTCCCAATTGAAGTGTTGTATTGTTGAATATGGGATAGCTTCCACGGCAAAAATATCGAAGAAATAGGGAAAGAATATTAGAACTAAAAATATGTATATACTAATAAAAATAAAATAAATGTATGCCAATATGGCCACCGGCCACACTATGTTTAAAGTATTAAATATTTTAACAAAAGCATGGTACAGAGAGAAACCTGAAACTTCCATTCAACAAAGAATGATAAACAAATTAAATTACTTAATTGCAAATAAATATGAATTGAAAAACAATGGATGTAATTGTGAAATTATAGATTAATAATGTATTCAAAACTTTACTATCTACCTTAACATGATTTGGATATTCTAAAGCTTGAAATCCATATACATGTGTTCCAATTCCATTCAAATCAAGAAATGATGGAAATTTTCTTCCTGTATTTTCTCTTTCTTTCCAATAATATACACGTACCTTTGGTGTCTTCAAAAATGAATAAATATAAATTTTTTTTATATAAAATTCTATTAACTTTAATTTTACTAATGCTTTAAGTGAAATACTTTTATGGGTACTTGAATATCCAAAAACTTCAATATTTTGTTTGTCCAAGGTCCTGCACAGATGATTAGTGATGGTGTTTGAAAACTTTTTGTTTCTGTTTCAATAGTTATTATTTTCCCTGGTTTAATATTGCAGACCTTTTCTGAACTGTAAAATTTGCCACCACTTTTTATAAAAAGTTCCTGAAAATTAAATATTTTACTTTAAATTTTATAAATATAATAATTAAAAATTTTCAAAAATATATTAATGTAAGAATACTAACTTGTACTGCAGAAAGTGCTTTATTTGCCAAAATAATTCCTCCAGTTTCTTCATAAAATTTTATATAATCATTATTAAAAAGAAATTGAGGATATTTTTCTTGCATAATTTCATCATTTAATTCTGTTAAAGAAGTTTCAGCAACATTTTTAACATTTTCACAGCATTTTTTGAGGGAATTACTAGGTTTCTTATCCAACATAATTAATCCAGTTTGACTAAAAGTATAAAATTTAATGTTAATGAAAAAAAATCAGAAAATTTTAAGATAAAAATTTAGTCGATTAGAAAAACAAAATAAATGACAAAGTACTTTTTACCTCTGTCTTTACTTTTTACATTTCTGTTTGTATTTTGTCTGCTTGGACTTTTTTTATTCATAGAACTTATATTAGTCAAAAGTCAAAATAAAATACTTTATTTTCTCCAGGTGAAAATAAATAATTTTGTTTTGACTTTTGACTAAGATTTCCAAACATTATAATATTAATAATAAATGAAAATACATCCCAGTAAATTTGATTCTCTCTTAGATATAAATGACTAAAATATTTTCTAACTTTCCATTTCTAACAATTTTCATTTTATTGATATTTTTAAAGTAAATACTTAGATTACATGTACAAACCTGCATTAGTGGACTAGTAAAGNAAATGGCAAAAAGCTTAATTTGGAGTGTAGGGATGGGGTTTATAATTTCATTATTTAATTTAAAATTTTGGTGGTGTCATCTGTTATTATATTTTTAACTATTATAAGACTAACAGCACAAAACCTTTCTCACTAATTTCTAGCCTTATTAACTGGAGTACAGGCCGAAAACGTTTGTACTCCAGTTAATAAGGCTAGAAATTAGTGAGAAAGGTTTTGTGCTGTTAGTCTTAGAAATAGTTCTAGCTACATATGCATAGTAGTGTAACTATTATAAAATGGCAAAAAGCTTAATTTTGAGGGTACGGATGGGTTTTATAAAAAATTGTAAAGGCTAATAATGAGTAAAATCATCATTAAGTCTGACCCTACTGGAGATATGCATGTCCCCTTTATCTCCCACCCCCTTGATGTTTGATGCTATTAAATTTTGGTGATTAATCTGCCTAATAAACAAACCTCCCTGCAAAATTTCAGAAATTTTTGAAAAAACACACAAGAGTTATTAAACTTTGAAGAGGGTAAACAAAATCATGCCACACACAACATACTAACATCCATACCAAAAAATTATCCCAAAATTTTTTTGCATTTCTCGACATTTCAAGATGTCCTAAGTCCAAAAATGTAAAAATTTTGGGGTTGTTTTTTGGACCAATTGCCATATCCTCTGTTATATATTTCACTTTCCCAGATGTTATATATATGTGAATATTTGAAATTAAATAAATTTTAATAATCATTTTATAAACAACAACAATCCAACATAAGAATATATGATGATATTCTAGTGTTGAAATGTTAAAATATTATTTTCTGTATATCTACTATTATCTGCCAGTGGCATAGCCAGGGGACAAGATGGCAATTGCATTAATATTCTTTTATTTTAACAATTGAAAATTGTTTATATTTAAGTGTAAAAGTAAACTAAAGCTAGTTGCCACAAATATAGATTCAAATCATAGAATCTGTAGTTTTAAAAGATTTAATAACAATAAAATATGACTTTTCACTTTCATATTCACATAAAAGTAATGATTCAAACCTATAAAGGTGATTTGTTCAGTGCTTTCAAGTAATTATTATTATTTACAATAAACCAATCATGTAGAATAATATATATATCACATAATTTGAGTTACAGGTTTAACATTCAATACTACTACATTTTTTAATTATAGTAATGTGGTAAACACTGAATAAAGAAATAACTTTCCTAACTTAGTAACAACCTTTATTTTCAGAGAGCTGGAGCAGCACAACTACTAGCAAATGCAGGCAGCTTTGCAAAATGGGAGAGGGAAACAAACAGTGATGCTTACAAAAAGGAAAATTTGGAGAGTGGCAAACACCTGAAACATCAATGGGAAATGGATGAAAGAGAAACCCATCCTTGTCGCTGCCACAGTACAATTTACCCTGGAAAAACTAAAATGCACTAAACAATATCTAAAGAAAAATAGAATTTTCTGAAGATATATTCCAATAATCCTTTTTGAATATATTTATTTTCAAGAAGGATGGATTTGGAGGAAAGGTTGAGAAAATTGCTTGAGCAGAGAGAGAGAGACACATTGAAGATATACAGTTTTTTAAATAACGTCTATGCGAAGAAACCATCCCAAGAACACTTCAACTGAGAAAATCAATTAGAAGAGATATCCACAAAGAAGAAGTATGGAAAATAGAAAGAATGATAATAAAATCAGTTATCAGAAAGAAAGGTAAAACAATTCGTTTTATGTCTAAGCAGATTAAGGATATTAAAAAGAAGTTGAATAAAAAGTTAAGGTTACAAACTTTTAATAATAGGAAATATATAAAAAATAAAAATGCTAAATTGTTAAAATTATTTGATTATACATTAGAAAACGAAAAAATAGAATGGCAGAAAAATTTTGTTCTTAATTTGTCTACAAGGAAAATGCCAGAAGATTATATACGTTTCTTGTCATATGGTGTTAGTATGATTTACCTTTCTTTAATAGAGTAATAGATACAATAGCAGATATGAATGTGCAATGTTTCAATGTAACCTTAAAAAAGGAGAGGAAATTAAAATTAAGATAAGTGAAGATTTGAAGAAGTTTAATACCAAGAAAGGTTATATTATGGATTATAAAGCAAGATACTAAATACTATAGGTAAATATTATATTTTTAAAGAATTTTTTAATTCTATAATCTTTGCCTAATAAAAGCAGACAAATCACACCAAATAGTAGTAATGAATTTACAAGATTTAGAAGACAGGAAACAGGAAATTATATTGCAAGGAAATTTTGAAAAACTTGAAAGAGATCCATTCATCGAAATACAACAAAGGCTATCCAAAAAATTAAAGAAATTAGTAAATGAAGGCTACATCTCAATACATCAAAGTAAGAAATCCTCCCTAAGGAAAATATAAGGATTCCTAAGTTAAACATTAGAATTAAAACACAAAATCAAACAGAGGAAGTGCCGACCAATCATTAAGTCTACGTTTTTAATAAATACTTCTAAGTTATATAATAAGTCGTTGCAGGTTATTCCAAATTCAGAATACAGCATAAAAAATGCAGAGGAGTCAATATCAAAATTAGAAAAAGAAGAAATTTTGCCTGAATATAACATTGATAGACTCTGTATAATCATATTATTATTAATAGAAGAGTACATGTAAGTATGGAGTTTCAAATTATTTAAGAGAGATAATTATTAGCCAGTACAAAACTAATTATTTTACAGTAAAGAAAACTTTTATTGCCAAATTGATGGCATTTCCATGGGTTCAGTAATTGAACCAAAACTAGCAGAAATCTACATGCTAGATATGGACAAAACTTTATCAAACCTAACGGGCATTATATTTTTTGCAAGGTATATTGATGACATATTGATTATATATAATAGTGTAATAATGACACTTATTCAAATATTAAATTCACCCAAGAATCTGAGAAGTATGATAAAATAATTTATTTAGATATAATGATTACACAATTTATAGATTGTCTTGAATATTGTAAATTTGAAAAACGATGTAGTGCTAAAAAAGTAATTAACTTTAAATCATATTGCCCTATAAATCAAAAACGTAATATATATTTAATGGAAATAAGAAAGATATTTTCCAGAACAACAAAAACAGATATAAGAGAACAGGAAATAAAAGCAAGAAGTATATTCTAAATGGGTATCCAAAGAAAATATTAAATAATTGGTATAACCAATTCATATCAAATAGATATAAAGTGAAAGAGAAACAAGAAACAAAACAGTACATATCATTTCCTTATATAAAAGGCATATATGAAAAATATAATAAAATTCTTAATCAAAATTTAATTAAACTGGCTTCAACTCAAAATAATAGGTTGTCCAATCTGATGGTTATAAGAAGTATTAAAAAGGACCCATTAGAAGAAGAAGGCATGATCTACAGACTCAAATGCACATGTAATATTCCAAGTTTCTGTATTGGTGAAATGAAGAGAAAACTGAAGACCAGATTGTTGGAACATTTAGCAGCTGTAAGATTAAAAATTAATAATTCTCCTATCTTTCATCATTGTAGTATTAATAATTGTGAAATTAGCATTAACTTTTCTTTTTACATTATTTTTTTCCTTATAAACAATTTTTACATTATTAAAGAACATTTTGCCATAGTTATGCAAAATAATACAGTTAATTTAAATACGGATGTGTTGACAGCTTCATACCGGGAGACTTTTGTCAGATATGTAAATGGAAATTCGTAATGTAAATCCATAATGGAATATTGTCAAGAGTTTAAAACTGTATGTTGATAACCCTACTGAGGAGGCCTATTTTTTTGGTGAAATGCATTTAGGGTACTTAACAATGTAATAAAGTGTTTTATATGATTGGGTTTGCTTTTACCTTTTTTAACTTTATATCAATAATGAAATAAAAATTAATGTTTTAGAATTTTAAAGTTATCTACCCTCTGTAAGTCAGAACAAAGAAAAATTGATTTTTTGTGTATTTCTTTACAATACAATTAAGTAAGAATTGGATAAATAATCTGGCTCCATTGTTTTAAATAATTTTAAAGATTCTCTTTGTTGAAATGATATGAAAAATTGGTAAAATTTTAAAAAATTCATAATGTATATTTAATCTAAACTTTCTCAGAAGTTTTTAAAAATTAATTTACAATCTTCTATATATACAAATTTTAACCAACAAAATGAGAATTGAAAACAAGGATTAAGCTAATTTATTCAGTACAATTCCATCTAACTACTACATATGAATGGTAATGATTTTTAAAATGACAAATCAAGATCAGTAACTTTATCAAAGTACAGATTAGAACATGTACCATACTACATGGACTATAAGATGCTACGGGCTATAAGATGCACCATATTTTTAAGCAATTTTTTAAAAAAAATAACATTTTTACCATTTTTACTGCCTAAATTTATTCCTTTTAAACGGATTGAAGCAAACGCTGATCCACCAATCAACGCTTATTAGCACTATTGGATGTCCACTGATCATACAATGGTCACACGATGATCGCTGGCCAATCCGCGATCATGGATTCAGAACCACCAGTCATTTCATGATCCAAGTTTCTATGGCAACAACTGTTGCTCGTTTGAAAAGAGAAAAAGCATGGGAATCGTACATCCAGATAATTCTATCCTGACACCATGCAACTCATGTTCGTCACATCGGTGCACTGCTGCTGCCAGTTGAATTCAATGTTGCCAGATAGAGATAGGTTTCAAATATATGGCCATTTTTAAGACGCAGGAATTTTAAATCAAACACTGGACATTTTTATATTAATTTCGAGTATAAGACACACCTGAATTTTGGAGGCAATTTTTCGAAGAAAAAAGTGCGTCTTATAATCCGTAAAATACGGTAGTTAAAATGGGAAGATTTTATTAATGTATTTTTATTATTATAATAAAATCAGTTAACTTTGCAATTTATTAGATAATTTTAAATACATAATTTTTAAATCTTTTAATAATTATTTTTAGAACAATAATTAAAAGTTTACAAAAAAAGATCAAATATCTTACCTGAAAATCCACAACCAATAACTATGTTTTTAAATGATGGATGATAATCTAATATGAATGTATCATCTGGAGTATCCTAAATAAGAAAAAGAATAAAATCCTTATCTCTTTAATCATTATATAAATACATCATACTTTTAGTATCAAAAATTTATTTATTGATCTAATAAATCAAACTCTTAAAATTTTTCTTATTTGCAAAAATTTAATTAAGACAATGTAATCTTTGTAAAGGAAAATTTTCAATTGTGAAAGAACATTTTTCTCTGTTTTATTTGAATTATAAATGAATAGTCTTAAAATACTTAAAGCAGCAACTAGCCTTATAATTATAACAGGACAAAATGCATTGTGATGGATTCCAAGAGCTAGCAGGCATTAAAATTAGGAAACATTCTTAAAAGAAAACAATATTAATAAACTATTCTTTTTACTACATTTTAATATAATTATTACTATAATTTATTATTATAACTAAGAAACATGTCAGGCCACCAACATGTCTTTGATGTTCCCTAATATATGTGAAATTTTAATTTTAAAAGACTGGCCAGTTTTTAAATATATTTAAAGAGTTTTTGAGGAAATTCATCTAAATGGATAAATTTACTGAATATGTGAGCATGTCAATAATGTCTTGTGTATCTTTTAAATCAGCTAATATACCATACTGAATTAGTTTCATAGAGTAGATTGGTCCACTTGAAAAGTTATGTAAAGTTAAGAGTTTTGTATTTCATTAAAATATTTTGATGTTCATTTCTATTAGAGTCAAAGTAGGGGTCATTCATTAAGTACATGTACAGCTTTTGAGTCATTTTAGATCCATTTCCTCCCTGTTGTGTACAATAGTATAGTTTTGGCAAACCCTCTCCCTTTTAATTACTAATACAAAAATTTATAGATCCCCTGAAATTGAAGAAATGATTTTAAAAAGTTCTTCAAATATTTTCTAACTGACATTTTATTCACATGACTGATAAGCAGACATATAATAACAAAATTATATGCCACTGAGACAATTGAAAAAGTCCATATAGACAATGCCTCAATGTCTTCTCTCCCTATTGTGTACTGCAATGTACTTTCAAAAACATTATGGTAGTTTAAGTACAATTAAAAAACTACTTATTGTTATCAATATGTTTACATAAATAAGCTTTTTTTTTTCTCTTTCTGCCCTGTGGGCACCAAGAGAGTTTTTATCAAGCTTATAATGGGTTTGGCTGGGTGGAGAGAGAATGAGAGATGGGGCCTGACATATCTGAGACAGACGACCACCCCAAAAAATTCTTGGAGATTTTTAACCTGACTGGATTCATTTCCAAGTTTCCAGAATAGACACCTTAGCCTCTTGACCATCTGGTCATCAATTTTTAAGCTGTCTCTTTGAACAGTCAAGTTCAAAATTTGGTTGGTAACACACAATAATTGTCAGATATCAGTTATTGTTATTAGAATTAACTAGTGTTTTAAATATTAAACAGTAATCATTTTTAATAATTATTTGCTTCCAATATGGTAGTTTAAAGTGCAGGCATTTCTTACTTCAATTATACATTAGATGAATTAATATTAAATAATAATAATCATAATTAGCAAATTTTCTGTTATACATTTTTTTAATAGTTCTAATATGTCTTTTTAATGTCAGAATCAATAAAATCAATTTCTACTAAATGTAGTCTTATTATTTATCCCATTTACCAGTAATATAAAATTAATATTGTCAGTCAGTTATTATTATTAGTATAGGTGAGCCTAAAGTGACCAGATCATGAAATGTAAAAAGTGGAACATTAGGCAGGGTGTTTTGATAAGGGGCACCCATACATTGGGACACATACTGAGACATGTGCTCCCCTTTTCATTTGTGTCGTCCTTTCCCTAATCCCCAAGGAGGACCCAAATTCCATTATTGACAAACAACAGAAAATTCATGACATCTAGCCTATTCTGCAAATATCAAATAAACTAATGAATGATATTTGTCTATTGTTCCAGGCAACTTTATTGTACATTAATCAAAAGTTAGTCCCAATTGCAACCAGTGCCATCTTGTGGGAATGTGCAATGTTATTTCTTTTATAGTTTGTGCCCCTATTTGTATAGTCTGCAAGTGCTACTGGTTTGACATTACATCAGATGAGTCATGATCAACTCTAGTTATTGATTGTTGGTTTTCTAGCTTTCTGATGACATCAACGACAGATGCTATGAAAAACGAATGAAAATTTTAATTATCCACATACTCTTGTTCATAAAATAGCAACAATGAACAATTAATTCTGGATCTCTTTATTTCTTTTAACTGCTGCTTTTTTTAAACTCAGATAATTAGCAAAAACTATCAAATCCTTCAAATCCCTTTTATAACTGAACTATACAATTGGATATTAAAATTTTTATGCTAAAACTTATATTCAATTCATCTTTTGACTTATAATTTTTGAATATAATTATGAACAGTCCAAAAGCAGCATGTTTTTCAAACAGTTTAAAAATCAGGACTGTCCTGCCTAATTCAGGACATCTGGTCACTATAGCTGAACCCCAAAGTGATTAATTTAATATATCTATTTATTTTTCTTGTTGATGACAGCTATTTGTAATTCCTTAAGGTGGCTAAAGATAATGGTCACCTTTGTGAATTCTGATAACCAGTTGTCAATGTATTAGAAAGTAAAAGAAGTGATGTTCAACAAATGAGGAGGAGGAATTCTTTGGCATGAGAAAAAACACATTTGGGATTAAAGTTGGCAAATGTAGCCAAGAAGAAACATAGAAGAAAATAAGTAGTAAAGTTACCAAAGACTCATTGTATTGATGAGTGGTTTCAAACTATATACAGTATGCAGATTTTCAAATATGAATATTATCTATGAAAATTCATATGATACTTTAATTTTTGTTATTTGAACTGTAAATTCTGCTTGTATGATTGTTACACTGATTTTTTTCTTGTAATTCTACTAATATCAGCACTCATTAAATATGATTATTATACATCACTAATGCTTTATGAAATTTAAGAATTTTTGTTCACTTTTATAAGCTATCTCTTAAATCACTTCTGGGCAGTTTGTGATCTACTGAACTAATCAGCCACAAGACTAAAAGTATAAATCTATTTTTAGAACTATACTTTAAAGCACAGGTTCTCAAACTTATTTTGACCACTGCCCACTTTGAGATTAAAAAAATTAGTGCCCCATATTTTTTAACTTACCTTTTTACATTACCATCTGTTGCGTATCTTAAAAACAGTTATTGCAAATATAATGTTTAAACATGCATTATTATATGGATAGGATAAATAGGGTATGACCCATATCCTATTTTTGAGATCAAAGAAAGTTTCAATGAGAAGGAATATAACTCATATTTAATCACTGAGCCTTCTCTACTGCCCCCTGAAAGCCTCCAGCACCCACAAGGGGACATTATTGCCCACTTTGAAAAAGGATGCTTTAAAGCATGCATAGAAGGATCAAAATATATATTTTATATGAACAATAATCTTAGTATAGATAGTTCACTTATTTACTTTTTTAGGTTATTTTGTGCTTTAACCAATATTTTAGATTAATGAACATTTCACTTAACTAAAACATTGAATTAAATTGAAACTTTAAACAAGGTATGAACACATGCAAGATTTATAACTTTTATATATTTTCACTGTTACATATGGAAATAAACAATTACTTACTGAATAGATACAAGTTTCAATTATATTTGGTTTTTCATGTTCTATTTCAGGAAAATGTTGTTGAATATACTTGCATAATTTATCAACATATATATCTTTCATTCCTGTTGTATCTTTTGCATCTGGATCACACTCATCACCACCATGTGCACATATCTAAAAAAGTAATATGAATAGCATATAATTAATAAATTTGTAAAACATTTAA